TCATATATTTACTGTGTTCAGGCCTCCAAGTTCTTCCTTTAAATAAAAAATAGGGTCATAGGTGTCACGTTTGCTTTTATTGGACGCAGGGTAAGAGAGACAGGTGTCTCCACTTGCCCATTCAGATCTATTTTCTGCCCTTAGAGCAGTCAGGTAACAGGTAAGACTGAGATGGAGCGCTCAGATGGGAGCTGGAGGGACATTTAACACAGGAGTTTTCTATAAAAGGTGGTCAGGGTGCAGAGAAATCACAAGTTAAGAGCAGAACCTGGAGGGACATTTAACACAGGAGTTTTCTATAAAATGTGGTCAGGGTGCAGAGAAATCACAAGTGAGAGAATCATCTCCCAAAGTTAAGAGCAGAAGCAAATCATAATCCTCCAAGCTTGAAGAGGCAAGTGAAAAGTGGTTCCCCAGATCTCAGAAGAAGAGAATCATGTGGGAAGGACCACTAACATGAGTGGTGACTCTTTGGTCAAGGGACTGGCCAGCCCTTGGCAACAGCACAGGGAAGAAACGGGGAGACTAAGTAATTTGCCCTTTCTTTCCTCCGGTCTCCTAACGGAGTGTGCTGTTGTTTGAAATCGATTGGAAGCCAGAGGGCAAGGGTGCTTGTTAATAAAATCCATATAAATCTCAGTCCCCGGGGACAAAATAGACTGGAGAAAGACGGAGAGGAGATCAGGAGAGGCGGGCGGCGCGTAGCCAGCACAGCCCTTCCTACCCTGTTCTGCACCCTGTACTCTGTAGCCTATGTGGACTGCATCACCTCCATCCTTTGTTCTGATCCTTCTGGCGGTGTTCAGCCAATAAAGTTGGAAGTCAGAGAGGGAAGTCAGGGTTCATTCTCCCTTTATTCTGGCTGCAGTTTTGGCAGTAGCCGAGTTGCCCCGGTCTAAGACCTCAGCTCTCATTAGGCAGCTCACATCCTTGGCTACAGCGCCTGCTGCTATAGTAACTATAGTAACATGGTTCGTGCCCCTCATCCCTTAATTCTTAAAGGAACGGCATTTTTCTATTATTAATTCCAAAGTATGTCGACATCTCTTTTGGTCCCCATGACCCTGCCCACATCTTCTATAAACAGTTTCTTCATCAGTCTGCTTTCAATTAAACACTCTGAGACTGCCCAGTGATACAAAACTGCACGAAAGTATGCATAAGCCATCAGCATACCCAGGGCGGGTGTCATCAGTGTCAAGGGACTGAATCTTTTAGGAATACTCATGTCTCTCTAGGTCAAAGGGGGATGATAACCCATTCACTACTTTTCTGTATAAAGAGAACTTAGAGTAGCAACGAGTCCTCCACTCCTAGAAGCATCCGGCATTGGCAGGGATGCCATCATTTGGAGGGATGGGAGGATTAAACTAGATATATGGCCTCCCTAAACCGTTTCCGTCTTTAGAAACTCATATTCTCTTATTCTTGGCAGTTATTTCAAAAACGAAGGCAATAAGGATCTTATTTTGGGTTCCCACAAAAGCAGACACTGATTCTTGAGAGGGTGGCGACTTGATCCAAGAAGGGAGGAAAGCCCATAAAGTAAGCATTCGTGAATGGGTTCCTGTTATGGGAAACTGGGAACTGGGCTCAGTCTTTTCAAAGACTTTCTAACTTAATATCTCTGGGGAGTAAAGAGGCTACGGTAATTATCCAGCAATACCACCTTTCCTTTGTTAAGAAAAATTCCTGAGGTATTAAGTTCCCAGCGCATCTGGCCTGCCCACACCCCGGCATCCTCAGGAAGAGAGAGGCAGGAAATATGGAGTTATGGAAACTGAAAGTGACTTGCAGAGTGGGCCAAGGGAGTATGTTGCATTTGCTACAGTAAATTTGGGTAACAGACCTCTCCCATATGTCTTCACTTCCTCCCAGGAAGTTGGTACCATTAATGAGAACTCATTTCGAAGGTGGACAGTTCTATCTTCTACAATATTTAGTTAAGGCTGGTCTCCAAAGGACTCGGGTTTAGTCACCAATAAGTCCCTATTCATATGCCTCTTATTACTTCCTTCAATGCAGATTGGTTTGCGTGAACCATCTTTTCAAAACGTTGCCAAGCTAGTGTACGGAGGTCTATAAATTAAGGCAAGTTTATATGGAAAAAGAAACATGTAAGAATAACCAGAAAAAAATAATAAAAAGGAAAAAAATTACCAAGGGAAACTAGCCCTATCTGACATTAAAACACTCTACGAAGCCTTTATAATTACAGCATTATTACACTAACACATAGATAGATAATAGACCAATGGAATAAAAGAGGAAGACCAGAATTAGTCCCAAATACATATAGAAATTTAACATGTTGTAAAGATGGCATTTCAAATCCCTGGAATAGAGATGGACTGTTTAATAAATGGTGCAGGACCGACTAGATAGTCTTTGGAAAAATATAAAATTACATCCATATTGCACACTATACCCAAGGATAAACTCTAAATGTATTAGGAATGAAAAATGTAAAATGTAAAATCACCTACTGTACTATTCATAAAAACAAAATTAATAGTTTGGGGAAAGGAAGCATTGTGGTAGGAAAAAAATGTATATTTTAACACCAAATATTGTCAGAGGAGAAACTTAAAGCTGATTTAGACTACCTATGAATCAGTTTTAAAAGTGTGTGTGTGTGTGTGTGTGTGTGTGTGTGTGTGTGTTATACAAGTACAAGTATTAGAAGAAAACAGAAAACACAGGTAAATTCTTATTTAATCGTACTGTTGGGAAGAGCTTTCTAATAATGGCTTAAAATCCGTAGGTAATTGTAGTAACCTGTTTGGGCTACTGTAACAAAAATACCATAGACTGGGTTGCCTAAACAACACACATTTATTTCTCACAGGTTTGAAAACTGGAAAGTTCAAGGTCAAGTCACCAGCAGATTTGGTGTCTGGCAAAAGCCTACTTCCTTGTTCACAGATGGCCATCTTGCTGTGTCTTCACTGGCAGAAGGCACAGGAGAGCTCCCTAGGGTGTTTTATAAGGACACTAATCCCATTTATGAGCACCCCGTCCTCATGACCTAATCACCTCCCAAAGGCCCCTTCTCCAAATACCATCTCACTGGGATATTAGGTCTCAACGTAGGAATTAGGGGAGAGGGGCCACAAACGTTCAGTCTGTAACAGTAGCGAAAAATTGATAAATTTTACTATATAAAAATTGTTTTTTAATTTGCACAATAAAAGAAACAAACGGCAAAAACAAAATCAAAAGACATTGTCAAACTTGGAGAAAATATATCACAGATGAAGAGCTAACGTCCCTGATATATAAAGAACTCTTAAAAATTGAGGGACAAAGGTCCAGAAATTGAAACCAAAAAAAAAAAATAAGTAAAGACTTAGGGTTTGGCTCCATTTACCTTTTCATCCTTGTTTGTTTCAGTGTCCTTCACCCACAAAATGTTTCAAACGCTATTCGCCACACCCAAAATATATCCTACGCCTTCTCTCCTTCGCGCTTGTACCCTCCTCCATTCCCTCTGCCTGTCATTATATTCTTTCTGTTAATCATGTCACGAAGTTCATCCCATCAGCTTCATCTGTTTATTCACTAAAAGTGGTTTAGTGCCAATCGTATGCCAATAAGAATGCAAAGGTGAATCAAGACACTTAAGACCTAGAACAGCAGTACCTGTGCGGTTCACATGCCCACCCACGAGTGTTTTCTGATTTTCTACGGGCTCCGACTTAGATAAAAAATAGACTTAAGTTGATTGCGATTCTCATTTCACATGCTGTGACTCCCCTTTTCTCATGTGGTTTATCAATTTCGAAATTCCACCTTCTGTTCGAAGTCTTCCCTAATCTCTTCAAACCCAATAACTCAGTTTCTCCTCTGTTCTCCTGCGGGGATCCTATTTCTCTCCTGTGCCATTTATGTCCTTCTGTCTTGCGACATAGCTATGCTCCTTGCCCCTGAGAGACCAGCGCATTCCTGTGTCTCCCAGAGCAGCAAGCACAACTTTCTTCTGCGCACAGATACCATGAAATACTTACCCAACTGAATTGCATTTAATTGGCATGTAACAGGAAGTACATATGGGTGGGGAAGCTGAGCCTTGGGCAGCTGGTAACCTGGCCTGCACCTAGGAGGAAGCGGAGAGGACTTCGGATCTTTCTTAATGCATCACCCAACCTATTGAACACAGTGCATCCCTTGTCTCGAGAAAAGCAAGTTGCCTACAGCGAAGCACTGGGAAGAGGAGCGAGAAAGACTTAGCTGCTGGCAGAGCAAAGTGAGTATGCTTAATCTAATGGTTACTATGGATAACTGAGGGATGCTGATAAAGTTTTTCTACCAAATGAGACTAATGATAAAATCTGGATGTGAGGTAAAGCTCATGGCATGGTTTATTGTACTCATTTCTGGGGGTCTGTTTAAGGAGAGAGAGAGAGAGGAGAATTTTAAAACCAGACCAGAATTCAAAAGTAACCGAGAAAATTGAGCAGCCTAAGACACCCAATGAATATATACTGTCCTGGCAATGGGCTTCTCTGAGGTCAATGACCTCCATTTCACTGATATTTATATGACGAAGTCCTGGAGAATTCACGTCCACTCTCCCAGCCTCAGTTTCCTTTTTCAGAAATTCAGAGAATTGGGCTTGGTATCCTCCAAGAGACTTTCCGGCTCTGAAATTTCGTTATCAGATAGTGCTACTGTATGCAAAAGCACCGAGCTGAGCACGACGAGAGATACAAAAATAAAAAAAGACACGGCCCTTACCCTCTGCAGGGCTTAACTCGTTTGGGACTTGCTTTTTCTCATCTGTAAAACTGGGCAAGGGTGAGGATTGAAAGAAATGTATTTATAAAGCAGTGACCACGTGGCACTTCGTAACTGCCCCGTAACTGGTCCTAATATCTCTAAAACGAGATTCATCATCTCATAGGGGGATAAGGTGCTCAAACGAGTTAACGAAAGCAAAAGTCCTTTACAACGTAAACATTAGTGCGAGTGTGACTGTATCGCATTTATTTTTTAGCAGCATGAATTCGATGACTTCAGCAGGCCCCACGGCCAACTCTGTGTTTGTGGCGGCACCCCAAAACCCGTATCCCACGATGCCGGGGGCCATGTCTCAGGGACCCCTGTATCCATGGAACCAACCCCAAGTCCACCTAATTCCCGGAAACCCTCCTGGTCCGGAGCCATCCGCATGTGTGCGACCTGACCAGAGAGGCTTGAAAGAGGGCAAAGTCCTAGGGGTAAGTGGGATTGCACACTGCAGGGCAGGGGCCACAAGGCCGGAGTCCGAGGGGGGCGAAATTTAGAAATACAGAAACTCTAGATCCCGCAAGGAGGGTCGGGCTGCCCCGGCCTTGCCAGACCCTGATTTATCAGAAAGCTCCGCTGTGCGGCCTCGCCAGGGCCTCCGTATGGCGCCTGGTATTTTCTGACTCAGGCATTTTAGAAAAGAGAAAAAAAAAGCGACAAGGACAAAAACAACAACAACAACAAAGCAGTAAACTGGAACACTCGTCCTGTCGCCAGCATCCTCGCTGATCCACGTGGCCTCTGGAAAGAAGCGGGTCCCCTGATCCGTAGAGTCTAAACCCCATGTGTTCGAATGGAGTCTTCATCCAGTAAGAACAGAAGCAGGTTAGACAATCAACAAAATAAGAATTGGCGGTGATTTCCTCCGCCCTCCCCGGCGAAAGGCTGTCTTGAGGAGGACGAGGGAGGCCCATTTCATTGCATGGCCTGATGAGGGCAAGCATGGGTTCTGACCCAGGCTGCCGGGAGCTCAGACCCTAGCTCCGCTCCCATGTATGGCTCGTGGGAGTGTCCTCGGAGACAGCCTGCATGGAGAGCAACGTGTATTTGCCAAATTTAAAAATATCCGATAATTCCATCTCTGAGACTTTGTCCTGCAGGTATGCCTGTGCACACGAAAAACATGTGTGAGCTTATTTATTTCAGCTTGGTATGTGACAGCCAAAGAATAGAAACAGCCAAAATCCCCGTCAATATAATTCTGCTTAAATCAATACATTATACGTCCAAAGAATGAAATGGGGGGATGTAGAAAGAAAGCTCCTTATGTAATAATATGGACATAACCCCAAGATATATCATTAATGGGGAAAAAAATAAGGGCGGACATTCAGTATAATTTACCACCACTTGTGCAGGTTTAAAGAAATAATGTATTTGTGTTCACTGCCATGTTTGTAGTATATACATACATGTATATGGATGTGTTTATACATACATGTGTATACATGTATGTATATCTCATTTGGGAGAGAATATATATTAGTTTTGTAGAGCTGCCAAAACAAAGTGCCACAATTTGGGTGGCTTAGAACAACAGAAATTTATTGTCTCACACTTCTAGAGGCCAAAAGTTTGTAATCAAGGTGTCCACGGGTCCGTGCTCCCTCTGAAGGCGTTAGGGGAGGATGCGTTCCAGGCCTCTCTCCCCGCTTCTGGTCGGCTCGTGCCTTGTGGGCAGCATCACTCCAAGCTTGGCATTCTCCAGTGTGCATGTGTCTCTTAATAGGGTATTCTCTTTAAAAGGACAGCAGTCACGCAGGATTAGGGACCACCTGACTCCAGTATACCTCAATATATACTGGAGTATGTACCTCATTAGGTAATACTCCAGTATTACTTAATTATATCTGCTGCAACCCTATTTTCTTTCTTTTTTTTTTTTTTTTCAGGCAAGGCAACCCTTGGTTGACCTCACAGATTGCAAGGAACTTATCAGTTTACAAGCCTTTATTTTTTTTTCTTTTTTACGCCTACGGCACCTGGTCTTTCAAGGTGGTCTCCCATCCAAGTACTAACCAGGCCTGACCCTGCTTAGCTTCTGAGATCAGACGGAATTGGGCTCGTTCAGAGTAGCATGGCCATAGACTGCAACCTTATTTTCAAATAATATCACTTCCTCAGGGACTAGGGGCTAGAACTTAAGCATATTCATTCGATGGGGTAGAGTCAGACACAATTCAATCTGTAACAATATCCCAAAGAAATAAGAGATGAGCACAAAGACTTATCTACAAGGATATTCATTGCAGTGTTATTTTATAATATGAAAACACAAAAAACAATCTTACCTGCCCGATACGTCTGTTCCAACTACTTCATAGAACAGCCAAACAATGGAATCAGGGCAATGCTCAATACCACGGGGACCTATTCATGATGAAATACTAAGCCAAATATGCAGAGCCCTATTTCATATTATCGATGCATGTTTGAAAATAAGAATGGAAGGTTAAACAGTCGATTTCTCTGAGTGGAAGTAAATTACAGGAAGTTTTCGTTTCATGTTTTTATTTTCCATATTATTTTTTAGACCAGAAAAACAAAAGATTTATTAAAATTACAAGGAGGCACAAAGGTGGTGGGCGGGGGTTTTTTCGGATCCAGCCTCAGAAACAAAGGTCTCAGCTTGTGGCTCTCCTCCCGCAGGCCATCCAGATCCTGATAGGCCTGGTACACATTGGCCTGGGCTTTGTCATGGCGACCCTCCTCAGGTCCTACCAAGCCTTCTCGTTCTACAAAGGCTTTCCCTTCTGGGGAGGCATCTGGGTAAGTAACATGAGTCACTCTGCAAGCAAGTTCCCAGAAAGTGTCAATGCACTCAGGACCACCTCGTCAAGTTGTGCCGTTAGGCACAGAAGTTTTCCAGCCAAGACAGCGTGCAGGGTGTGACTCCGGCTCAGGCCTCGGTCACCAAGCCTATAAGTCAGCTTGGGCCACCACAGACTGGGTGGCTAAACAGCAGACGTTTGTTATCGCACAGATCGGGAGGCTGGAAGTCCAAGATCAAGGGGTCAGCACAGTTATTTCTTCTGCGGCCTCTCTCCTTGGCTTGTAGACGCCCATCTTCTTCCTTGCATTTTCGCATGACCTCCGTGTGTCTGTGTCCTAATCCTAATCTCTCTTCTTATACGAACACCAGTTGTGTTGGATTAGGGCCCACCCATGTGACCCCATTTCGTCTTAATCACGTTAACCCCCTCTTTAAAGGCCCTATCTACAAATGCATCACCCTTCAGTGTGTGATGAGTTTACATCCCAATAAACCCACAGTAAATTGAAAATATCATGTCAAAAATGCATTTCATACTACACTGTAGAGTATGGCTTGTTTACCTTCGGGGTCGCCTGGCTGACCTAGAGCTGCCGCTGGCTGCCGCTGGCTGCTGCTGTCCAGCATCACGGGAGAGTAGCCTGCTGCACACCGCCAGCCCAGGGAAAGGGCAGAACTCAAAATCCAGTCTCGACTGAATGCGTATTGCTTTCATACCATAGTAACGTTGAAAAATCATAAGTCGAACCATCGTAAGTCAGGGACTGTCTGTCTATAAGGTCACATTCGGAGGTACTGGGGTTTAGGACTTCAAAAGGTGAATTTTGAAAGGACACAATTAAGCTCATAACACCAAGGGACAGCCCTGCAAGCTGCCTGCCATCCCCCTTTTCTATCCCGCCCAACTCAGAGGTCAGGAAAACTTCTTCTAGTTCATCAACCCAGAAGTGGCACCTTTTCTAATTTACACAAAAACACCCCCCTGTAAAGGATGCGTTCAGAATAGCCCTCAAGTGTCCAAGGTAGGCCGGCAGCCTGAGCCTCAGCAGAAAAGCTCTCCCACCTGTGGTGAAGAGTGCCTGCCCAGCCACACATAGAACGGTCAGTCAGTAAGCAGCGGGGACTCAGATGGGCTTCAGAGTCCCCATGTGGGCAAAATATTTGGTATGTTAGGTGTGTTTTGTTTTTGTTTTGTTTCGTTTTGTTTTGTTTCCTGGAAAAGTCCATAGCTTTCATCAGACCCTCGGAGTGATCCGTGACTCCATAAAAGGTTAAGAACCACAGGTCCGTTCTCTTCTCCAATGCGCCGCCTCTATGATTCTTTTGCACTGTGTTCTCCTTAGCGTCCTCCTGCCTCCACACACACTCACGCGCACACGCACACACTCACACACTCACACGCACGCACACACGCACTCACACTCACTCACATGCACACACTCACACGCACACACACTCATGCACACACACTCACTCACACTCACACTCACATGCACTCACACACACTCACACGCACGCACACACACTCACACGCACAAACGCACTCACACACTCACACACTCACACTCTCACACACACTCACACTCACACACACTCACACACACACACAATACCTCCTTGTCCTCCCCTCTCCACCCCTCCTCCTTTTTCTCTCTGCTCTTACACAGTCTGCCTCTTGACTCACACACCTCCCTGTGACTCAAATGCAACTTTTCTCACACGCAGCAAAACCTCAGAGTAACCTGGATGTCAGTCAAGCCACACTATCCCGTGAGATTTAAACAAAATAGCCTGGAGCCATCCCCACCCTCGTCCACACGCAACTTCTGCAAGATGGCGGCCGTTCTTGGGCGTGTTCTGGTCTCCGTGGCCGCTCTCTCTCTCGTTCCCATTTGTGTCTCATCTTCCAGGACTGAGGTCTTCTTCTCTCTGTTCCACACAGACCCAGACTTGGAACTCGGCCCCCATGTCTCCCCTCGACCACAGGCTCCCGTGTCTGTCTGTCTGACAGACCTCAGTGGAGTTCGGGGCAATGGAGAGGGTTAACCCCACAGCCACAAAATAGCTGCTATTCGGTGCTAGGTTCTCTTGGACACTCTCAAGTGCCCGGCGGCTGCCCCGGCGCCTCGAAGGCCCCGCTGGCCGTCTTCCCTTCGCCAGATTGCTCGGCCCCCATCAGCCCTCGTGACTCTCCCTCCTTTTTCCTACAGGACAGTTTTGCTCTTTGTCGCCTTCTTGACTCCAGGACGATCTGTTCCTTTTCTGAGGCTCATTCATGTTCTCCTCCAACCAGAAAGGCCTCAGAAAGACCGGAGGGGACATCGGAAGTCCAGCCTTCTGTTCCCTTCTTTTCTCTTCAAGTCTCTATAAACAGAAGGGCGTGAGGTTGAGATTTATTTTCCCACTTGTAGGAAAACTGGCATTCCCCTTAGAAGCCATAGGCAGCCAGCATGAGTTTTTATCATAAATACCCATTTCCACTCCCTGGCACATGCATCTACTGTGAGTGGGAGGGAGTGTAGGGCGCGGGTTAAGGACGTGGGTGACATGATTGGAAAAGTCTTAAATCAAAGCTAAATGTAGCACGATTCATTGCAAAAATAAAAAAGAACGTGGGATCCGGAGTCAACTACCTGGATTTGATTCCCAGCTCTGCTATTTGCTAGGTGGACTTAGGTGAATTATTTAAAATTTCTAAGCCTCAGTCTGCCCACCTGTACAATGGCAATAATAGTAGTGCTTGGTAAGCCATCATGCAGTTAAGTAAGGCAAGGTCCAAACAGCACCTCACGTAGCGCTCAGTGAAGCTTTTACTAAACCGTAACCAGCACGGTCCCAGACCAGTTACACTGACAGCCGCTCTGCCTGCAGAATGCCGGTGTTGAAATAAATGCGCGCAATCTGCCCCATCATCCTCGTAGTCGATGTTCAGCACTGTAGAGACGCAGGATTTTCCGAGTAACTGAAAGGTGCTCGCCCAGATGTGTAGACAGGCCAGGACTGGTGTTGGGCAGAGGAGAGACTGGGGACTCCTCCTCTCTCCCCCCAGAGTCCCATGCCTGAGTCCTGAGGTGAACGCAAGAATCCAACGAGATGTGCATGTGGGAAAATACAAGACAAGGAAAGAAGCAACTTCGAGTAATTTACCATGTACGTGATCTACTACGTGCAAGATATGCCAAATTCCAGACATGAGGCACAAATTATCTCACCGTGATGACTCTTAGCAAGGCATAGCTGTTGTTGTTTTTTCTATTTTTCGGACGAGGAAGTAGAGACCTAGAGAAATTAATAACTTTTCCAAGATCACATGAGTCTCAAGCCAGAATTTAAAACCAGGTCAGCTGAATCCTGAATTCTATATCTATCTCTGGCACGTGGTACAAAACAACTCATTCATTCCTTCGTTCGTTCTCGTTCGTTCTTTTCCCCATGTCGAGCTGGCAGTCCCACTCGAGAAGTCCAGCATGTGTGACGGAAGGTGTGTGTAACCGGAATCACGGAAGCCTGAAGATGGGGGCCCTAACTTCTGACTTCTTTCTAAACTTCCTCTTTTCTGCACCAGTTTATCATTTCAGGATCCCTCTCGGTGTCAGCAGAAAAGCAGCCCAAATCTCCTTCCCTGGTAAGTCACATCCTGAGACAGGCTATCCCAGCTGGGGACTTACTGGAGAGACACCCAAGGGGGAAAAGAAAGCTTTCCTTCCCTCATCCTTGCACCTACTTATAACCAGACACAGGGCACTGACACCCACGCTCACTCATACTCACGTAGAGGACCATGTGAACGTGGCCAGAGTCACAAGTAGGAAAGAGTCCGGAGGATTCAGGAGAAAGAGGGTCAACACAGCTACACCTTAGTTAAGGCATCAGAGTGTGGAGACAGAGAGACAATAGCTTTTCTAAGAGGCTCTTCCTGGAGGAGGCACGAAGCTGCCAGGGGGTCCAGGGCAGCCCTCCGGCAGGGCAGGGCACTGTGAGTAGCTGCAGCCCACAGAGCTGGCCTCCAGCCATTCCTGCGGTGAAGCCAAAGGAGCCTCGGGCACCAGCTTCCCTAAGGAATCCAGCCAACCAACTTTGCATGTCAACGTGGACCAAGCTTTGTGATCCCCTAGCAATGATCCGAGAAAGTACCTTTGTTTCTCTCACAAGCAGGTGGTCTTAAGCAAGGAGCCCCAGGACTACCAGGTCCCTCCACCAGATGAGATTGATTTGAAAATCTCCAAAGGTTATTTTTGGGAGCATTTGTCCCACAAGATTCTATGAAGACCCATAATCCGTGTTAAAGGCTCTGAGAAGTCCTGCACCAAAGGCTGTTTTAACTTTGTTCAACCCAGGTTTTTTTCAAAGTTCATTTATTCCCAAACCTTTTTTGCACAGAACGTCTCTCTCTATTTGCTGCAGAACCAGGGTTCCGGGGGATTCACGTGAAGGAACACTCGTTGAGTCTCTGCTTATCTCGGTGACAATAGTTTTCCTCTCTTACCCTGACCTTCTTACCATGTCTTCTTCAGGTGAAGTGCAGCTTGGGCTTCAACATCGTCAGTGTAATCTATTCTGTGACAGGAATGATATTCTTCATCATAGACATGAGTATCAACTCCCTATATGTCTACACTGACTACTATATCCACTGGAGTTTGGTGAGTATCTCTCTCAGCCATCGCTCCGCTGGGTTCCAGGTTAGCTAGTTTATACAATCACTGAAAAGGGCTTGACCACCAGGCACTGCGGGTAGCGCCAGCAGAATCGAAGCAGAGTTTAAAGTCCCTGACCAGCAGTTTTACTGCTGTGATGCTCTAAGTACGTGACTTCTCTCAGTCGTAGTTTCTGCTTTCATAAAACAGTACCTACCTCATGACACCATTGAGAGGATTAAATGCAGTTATACATAGAATGCTCCCATACCCACCAACCCTCGCCTCTGCTCACATGCTTGCCTTCCTGCTCTCTACTCTAGACAAAGCGGTCAGCAAAGCTTTTCTGCAAAGGGCCAGAGAGGAAATATTTAAGCTTTTGCAGGCCACTTGGTCTCTGTTGCGACTGTTGAACCCTATCCTGTGGTAGGAAAGCAGCCAGAGAAAATATGTAAATGAATGGGCGTGGCTGTGTTCTGATAAAACTTTATTTACAAAAATAAGCAGCAGAGAAGACTTGGCCCACAGACCATAATTTGCCATCTTGTGCTATAGACCAGCAGAGTCCACTAGAAATGTAATGTGAGCCACATATGTGATTTTAAATTTTCTAGTCGTCATATGAAACAAATGAAATTAATTTTTATAATACATTTTATTTAACCCAATAGATCCAAAATATTATTTCAATATGTAATTCATGTAAAAATTGGTTAACTCAGTATTTTGCGTCTTGGGTGTCACACCTTTGACATATCGGTGTTCATTTTGCATTTAACAGCACATCTAAATGTGGGATTAGCCAACCTCAAGTCCTCATCGGCCACAGGGGACTCGCAACTGCCACATTGAAAAGTGTAGCTGTAGATGAGTCCCAATAAACCCAATCTCTCCATCTGCACAACAGAGCCCGCCCACTCGAGGTCGTCACTCTAAATTCTCTGCTCCCCCTTGCCCCACCCCACTTCTACATCGATGTCCCCTCTTCTCTCAAGCGTTTCCACCGGCATCTACACACGCTTTCGTTTCTTTCGTCTTAAAAGAACGAACAAGCAAACCTTCTCTCCGTCCTGCGTCAGCCACTATCCCATTTCTCTGGTCCTCTCTGCAGAAAAATCCTTAAAGGAATTGTGTACGCTCGCGGTCTCCAATTCTCGACTCTCGCCATCTCCCTGGAGCCCACGCTCACCGTATTCCCAGCCTCCCTCCTCCAAAATCCTCCTCCACTCAAGGTCCCCGATCGTCTTTCTCTTCGGCGAACGGACGGTGTGTGGCTTCCAGGCTCCGCTCTGAGGCGGGTCTCATCCACCCACCCCGGTCGCTCTCTTCTC